ATGTGGTGCTGGGGGATTGAACCGCAGTCCCTGTGCTTTGCTAAGCTTGTTCTAAGTAGGTGCTTTAGACCACTGAGCCATCTCACCAGCCCCCTTTTTTTTTGTCTTTTTGAGGCACAGTCTTGCTATGCTGTTCAGATTGGCCTTGAACTCACTTTGTAGCTCAGGCTGGACTAGAAGTCACAATAATCTTCCTGTCTCAGTCTCCTGAGTGCTGGGATTACAGGTGTGAGCCACCACACCCGGCAGTTTAGTTATTTTTTATGTACTTATTTTTTTTTTCTCATGTTCATGTTTTATTTTATCCTGAATCATATTTATAACAGCTGTTTGAAATCTTTGCTAAATTCATTATTTATGTCATTTCTACATTTGTTTCTATAGATGGATTTTTTTTTTCCTGGTTATGAATCAAATTTTCCCACTTTTTTGTATGCCTGAGATATATATATATCTAAAGTAAAATAATTTTACTTTATTTTTTTAATTTAGTTATTACAGGGTCTCATTATGCAGCTCGGGCCCATGGTGATCCTCCTGTTTTCAGCCTCCCCAGCACTGGGATTACAGGCATGCTGCCTCCATTCCTGGACTCTAGCCAGCTCAACCCGCCCAGGGGCTGGGTTTGTATGCCTGATAATTTTTGATTGGATGTTAGTACTTATGAAATTTACATTGGTAGGCCAGCCAGATAGCTCAGTGGATTAAAGTGCCTGTTTAGGCAGACACAGGGACTGGGGTTTGATCCCTGGCCTGCTGTGCAGGCCTCGCCCCCCAGGGCACACTGAGATGGATGATTGAAACTGGGCGTGATGGTGTGTGCCTATGATCCCAGTGCTTAGGAGGCTGAAAACAAGAGAATCACTATGAATCTGATCTGTGTAATGAGACCTTGTAGACCCTGTACTAAATATGAAAAGAAAAAAGGAAATGAAATTTACATTGGTGACTGCTGGATCTTACTGTTTTCCTCTAAAGAGTCTTGTTCTTTATTCTGACCTAGGGGATTGAACTCAGGCCCTTGTGTTTGCCAGGTAAGCGCTTATTCTACTGAGCTATCTCCCCGGCCCCAATGTGTAAGAACTTTAACTGTAAGTGCTTGCCTGGCAAGCACAGGGGCCTGAGTTCAATCCCTGGTTCTACACACACACACACACACACACACACACACACACACACACAAATTTCTTACACATCAAGTTGCTTCTTTTAAAGCTTATTTGTTAAGTGGCTTTAGATCATCTTGGCCCTTAGGCTAATATAGTTTAGCCACATTGCTATCATATCAAATACTTTATTAGGTGATCTCTTCATCCTTGTGGGTGGGAATGTGAACTATTCCTAGGTTTCCCTGGCTTTCAGATTCCTCTGTATACTTTCTGGTGGCCTTTTCCTAACCTTCTAGCCTTATTACTCAACCAAATATTTAGAGGGACTGTTTGTATAGTAATATGTGTATTACTGCCTTGCCTGTATATCTGTCTGTTTCTGTCCCTTCTTTTTCCAGCATTTTTTTTTTTTTTTTACAAAGTTTCATAGCATGATTGATTACCTTGAACTATGAACTCTGCTTTCTCAACCAAACTGCCAGGTTGTCTTTGGATTTTCCTTCATTGCAATCTAAAAACTGCCTTCATTTGAATACTTTCAGTGGTCCCCTGCTGGCATTGCTGATTGTTTGACCAGTGTCTGTAAACAGTTCTTTTAGCCTTTTATTATACAAATTACTTTAATTTTTAAATTCATTTTTATATTACTTTAATTTATATGTTTTTTTTCTTCCCCAGAACAATATAGCTGAAGTACAAGAACTACATTCTGAATTAATGTGGAAGGATTTTATAGACCACATCAGTAGTCTGCTACACAGTGTTGAAGTGGAAGTGAGTTACTTTGCAGCTGGCATTATTGCCCACTTAATATCCAGAGGCGAACAAGCTTGGACATTGAGCCGAAGCCAGAGGAATTCTCTTCTCGATGATTTGGTAGGATCATTTGATGTTTTCTAGAAGAATGTAACAACATTCATAATATTTAAACTGTCAAAGCCTTATAAGCCATAATGCAAAGTAAATACTGTAATCCTTTCTTTGTATCTTGTATCTTCTAGCACTCAGCTATTTTGAAGTGGCCAACTCCAGAGTGTGAGATGGTAGCATACAGGTAACTGTCACAATATTTAACAATAAACCAGTAGCCTGCTCTTTTTCTTATTTTAGTATCCCTCTTGTTAGATATAAGTTGTCTCACTTAATACTGACTTTAAAAGAAGCAGTGTAGCTGACTGGTGGTGGTACAGGCTTGTAATCTTAGCTACTTGGTGGGCTGAGGCAGGAAAGTCACAGCTTGGGTAACTCCATGAGACCCTATTTCAAAGTAAAAAATAAAAAGGGCTGATCTCTGGCCCAGTGATAGAGGGCTTGTCCAACATGCATGAGAATCTTGGCTTGATCCCCAGTATCTTAAATAAAATGAAATATAAAAAAATAAATAAATAAAATAGTAAAGTATTTGGAATTTTTTCCTGACACTTATAATTCATATTATTCTTTCCTTTGTTGAATACTTATTAGCTACAAGTTCTAAAGATTTGTTCTGTGCTCTTGAAACTTGAAGCTTAAAAAAAGAAAGTAAAAGACGACCTAGTCATTGTGTTGCACACAAAAATCTTACATTCTTGGGGCCGGGGAGATGGCTCAGTAGGATAAGCGCTTGACTGGCAAATGCAAGGTTCTGAGTTCAATCCCCGGTTCCGCAAAAAAAAGAAAAAAAAATCTTACATTCTAGTGAAGGAAACCAAATGACCACTATGCTAGATGTACATAAAAATTAAACATGAATACCCTTAAGTCTACACTGAAAAATATTTAAAAACTTTCAAAGCAGTCCATTGTGAACTGAAGTTGTTTTGTTTTTGTTGTTTGAGACAGAGGTTCACTATGTAGTTCAGACTGTCTTTGAACTCGCTGTGTAGCCCAGGCTGGCTTCAGACACATGGTGCTTCTCCTGTCTCAGCTTCCTGAACACTGGGATTATAGGCATATGCCCCCATGCCTGGCTAATTTTGAACAATTAAGTAGGGTCAAGAAATTTGAGCAAGAGAAAGAAGTGGAAGTCTAAAAGAACATGACAGTATTGCAGAAACTAGAAGGAATACCATCTCTATATGGAAAACAATTTGCAAAATAATTTACCAAAGGGCATACTGGCTGTTCAACCCTATTTTTTTTTTTTTTTTTGATTGTCACAGTGAATATATTTCTACAGATAGATACAGAGATTCCAGTCAAATTTTTGTTCTTCCTCGTAGTGAAAGTCTTCAACCCTATTTTTTACATTAATGTCATTACAACTTTTTTTCGTGTGTGTGTGTGTGTGTGTGGTACTGGGAATTGAACTCCAGACATTGTGCATGCCAGTCAGGTGCTTATGCCACTGAACAGTCTCCATGGCCCATTTCAACTTATTTTGTTATCTGCTTCATACATGCCGGCTCTGTCAACACTTATTTGCACAGCTTACTGTGGTACTCCTGTTTGTTCAGGCCAGTAGACATAGAAAGGCTTTTTTTTTTTTTTTTTTTGGTGGAACCGGGGATTGAACTCAGGTCCTTGAGCTTGCCAGGGAAGCGCTTATTCCACTGAGCCATCTCCCTGGCCCCTGAAAGGCTTATTTTTGAGCTTCATGTTGTTCTATTTCTACACATTATCAGCTAACATCTCCATTTCTTAGTTTCTAAATCAAGATTTGTTAATCTTCAAAATGTCTATCTTTAAGATCAAAAAAGCCATGTGTGGTGGCGCACCCCTATAATCCCAGCCCTCAGGAGGCTGAGGCAGGAGAATTGTTGGGAATTCGAAGTCAACCTGGGCTATAAAATGAGTTCAAGGCCAGCCTGTTCAAGTCCAGGTTCTCACTGTGAGACCCTGTCTCAAAAAGACCAAAAGCAAAAACAAAACAAAACCAAAAAAAAGCTTTTGAAAGTTTTTTTTTTTTTTTCTCTTTTTTAATACTGTGTTCTCATCCCTTTCCTTTTCTAAACCAAAATGTATTGGAATCCATCTTTTCAGAAATGTCTAAGACAAGCTGTTCTAAAGTTCATTTATATGGTGACATTGCTAAAAGGAAAAGTTTAGTAATTGTTGCTTAAAAAAATAATGCTATAAGCCAGGCCTGGTGGCAGAGGCCTCAGATTCCCGCACTTGGGAGGCTGAGGCAGGGTTGAAGGCCAGCCAGGACTACATTATGGGTTCAGGTCCAGCCTGAACTACATAGCCAAGGTACTGACTTTAAAAAAAAAAAAAAAAAAAAAAATCCAGTATAGCAAATGTAATTATGACTTTTCTATGTGTTTCCTTAGGTCCTTTAATCCATTTTTCCCATTACTTGGCTGTTTCACAACGCCGGGAGTCCAGCTATGGGCAGTTTGGGCCATGCAACATGTCTGCAGCAAGAATCGTATGTAACAAAAAGAATTATGGTTTTTCTTTTTGAAAAGAGATTCTTGGGGCCGGGGAGATAGCTTAGTAGAATAAGCACTTGCCTGGCAAGCGCAAGGGTCTGAGTTCAATCTCTGGTTCCGCAAAAAAAAAAAGAGAGAGAGAGATTCTCTTTTCACAGGAAAGCCATTTCTAATATGTAATATTGCAATAATTTTTAAAGATACAATATAAGAGAATTACAGGTTACAAACTAAATGTATTCTTTTTTTTTTCAATTTTATTTATGTGTGTGTGTGTGTGTGTGTGTGTGTGTGGCCAGCTCAGCCCACCAGGGGGCGGGACTGGCTGGCATGTGGTGCTGGGGGATTGAACCGCGGTCCCTGTGCTTTGCTAAGTTTGTTCTAAGTAGGTGCTTTAGACCACTGAGCCATCTCACCAGCCCCCTAAACGTATTCTTTTAGAATAATTTTGGCAATGCAGAATGACAGTAGCAAATGAGATAACTGTCCAAACATCATGGAATTCAAAAATGTTTAGGGTGGGGGCTGGGGAGATGGCTCAGTGGAATAAGCGCTTCTTTGGCAAGCTCAAGGGCCTGAGTTCAATCCCCAGTTCCGCCAAATAAATAAATAATAAAATAAAATAAAATTCAGATTATGTGTTCAGAACACTTTAAAAAAAAAAAATGTTTAGGGTGACGAGGTAGCTCAGTGGACTAAGCACCTGTGAGTCCGAGCTGTGTAGTGAGACCTTGTACCAAATACATTAAAAAATAATTAGTTATTTAGTTGTTGGCTGGTTGGTTTATTTTATGAGACAAGCACTTAACTACATAGTTCATTCTTATCTTGAACTTTTTATGTAGCTCAGGCTGGACTTGAACTCTCCACCCTTCCTCAGCCTTCTAAGTGCTGGGATTATAGGTGTGTGCTATCACACCTCACTAGACTCATAGAATTTAAAGATTCAGAACCTGTTGTGATGGCCTAGGGGTGCATCTTAGTGATAGAGTGCTTATCTGGCATACCCAATGCCCTAGGTTCAATCCCCAGCACTGGGGGGATAAAATAGTGAGGGCCAGGGATATAGCTTGGTGGTTAGTATAGTGGACTAGCTAGCATGTGTGAGATTCTGGGTTTGATTCCCAGCATTACAAAAAATGTTTTAAAAATTACATACAAAAGCTTGCTTTTACATGAATATCCATTCAAATATAGGAAATAACCCCAAGTCAAAGTCCAGCAGTAGGGAAGTGTAAAATAGCATTGACATAACAGCGGAATATTTACATGTTATTTTAAATGAAGAACATACAGCAGAGTTGGGTGTTATGACATACATACACCTGTAATCCTAGCTACTCAGAAACCTGAAGACCCCGTCTCAAAAAACAACAACAAAAAAAAAAACAAAAAAAAAAAAGGAAAGAAAAAGTGGGCTGGAGGCTAAGTGTGGTTGCACATGCCTCTCCCAGCACCCTGGGAGGCTAAGGCAGGAGTATTCAAAGTTTATATTAAAAAATAAAAAGAGGAGCTGGGGATGTAGCTTAGTGTCAAGGCCCTGAGTTCAATCACTAAGCAAACAGTTATGCCCTCTCGCCCTGAAAAACAGGTGCTGAGGATGTAGCTCAGTGATAGAAGCTTTGCCTAGCCTGTGTTAGGCCCTGAATGCAGCACCCAGAGCCGGAAAGGAAAAAGGAAATATTCAGGACCACTAGCTAAGTGGTAACTGGGGAGAAATTTGAAAACACTCTGTCTAGACTGTAGACCAAGGCAACAAGGTTCTGGTAGCTGAAGAATGGAAAGGAGTGATCTGTATCAGTAGGTTACCTTCTCCCGGGAGGTCCAGTGTTTATAGACCCTGATCATCATAGTCCGTTGTGCTGCTGTAATAGAATACTTGAGTGTAGGTAAATTATACTCAAGCTGAAACTTACTTCTCACAGTTCTGCATGGCAGAGATCCAAGATGAAGGAAACAGCCCTTGACATCTGATAAGGGCTGTGCTCCACCCTCCCTCAGCATGAGCAGAACTGCAGGCGAGTACACCAGGCAATGGCTCTGTGAAGCCTCTTATTTAAGGATCCCAGTTTTAGTAATAAGGAGCACTTGTGACCTAATCACATCTTTTTTTTGGGGGGGGAGGGTCTACAGGGTGTTCAGGGTCTCACTACTAGATTGGACTTGTAGTGATCTGCCTGTTTACAGCCTCCAAAGAGCTGGGATTACAGGTGTGCGCCACCACACCCAGTCTCAATTGCTGTCTCAGCACAGGCACAGCAGGCCTGAGGATCAAACCACAGCCCTTGCGCCTGCTTGCAGGTGCTTTAATCCGCTGAGCTGTTTGGCTGGCCCATGACCTAATCACATCTTAATGGCCTCACCTCTTAATACTGTCCCGAGGACAACCACTGAGTTTGGAGAGGAACTCTCCAAAGCACAGCCCTGGCATACAGTGGGAGAATCAAGCACAACAACTATTTTGTTGCGCTTTGAAGAGAGATCTGAGTATGGTGAGACTGAGATGCAAGTGGTTGTCGTTCAGGGTAATGCAGGGGCAGCAGCTAAAGTTCCCGAGAATGCCTAGTGTGACTCAGTGGCAGAGCAAGAGCTCAATAATGGGTACATGCAAGGCTCTGGGTTTGATCCTTAGCATTATGTACATATAGAAATCTTTGTACAGATCCCTGAAGTCTTGGAATATTATACCTATGCATGCCTGTGGTATGACTTGCAGCATGAGAAAGGACAAATACCAAGTTGTTACTAATTGAACAATATTTGAAGCTCATGTATTATTGGGAAATATTTGAGTTTCAAATAGAGTACTAGAAATTTGCCTGTTGTGGTAGTGCATGTCTGTAATCTCAGCAGTCCAGGAGGCTGAGGCAGGAAAGTGACAAGTGTGAGCCCAGTGTAGGCAACTTAGTGACTTAGCAAGACCCTGTCCCTGACTCAGAATTTAAAATGGCTGGGAATGTAGCTCAGTGCAGAGGTCCTGGATCCAATCTCCAGCACTGGATAAAAAGAACTTAATGGCTTAAGCATTCAGTAAAAACACCAGAAAAAATTAGCCCTATAAAATTAGCTACTTTAGGCCAATCCTAAAAAATTTGAATGAGTCTTAAAGTGATCAAGCTGCTCTGTAAATAAACACATCAGGCACCTTCCCCCAATTCTGTACATTGTCTCTTCACTTGTTGCCTTTGTTGCACAGAAACTTTCTAATTTGATATGATCCATTTGTTGATTCTTGGTGCTATTTCTCATGTTATTGGGGTTTTGTTAAAAAACGTTCTTGACCCTGGTACCGGGAAAAAAAAATGTTCTTGAGCAATAAAAGCCTATGATCTCAAGGGTTTTACCTATTTTATTTTCCAGCAGACAAAGGGTTTCAATTAACACATTTAGATCTTCAACAATCCATTTTGATTTTTAGCTTACTAAATGGTAAAAAAAAAAAAAAAAAAAAAAAAAAAAAAAAAACAGATTCAGGCCAGGGAGATAGCTCAGTAGTACAAGTACCTGCTTGGTAAGCACAAGGTCCTGAGTTTGATTGCTAGTACAAAAAAAAGAAAAAAAGAAAAAGAAAAAGAAAAAGAAAAAGAGAAAAAGAAAAAGAGAAGAGATACAGATTCAGTCTTCTTCATGTGGATAGTCAGTTTTCCTAGAATGAGTTGTTAAAAGAGGCAGAAGCAGCAGCTCCTCCAGAGTAAGTTTTTGGCTCCTTTGTCAAATATTATATAGTTGAATGTGCCTAGACTTATTTCTAGATCCTTTTTTCCCCCCAATACCATGCAGTTTTTATCACTGTAGCTTTGTAGAGGAACTTGATGTCTATGCTTTTGATGCTTTCTGCCTTGCTCCTGTTGCCTAGGATTGCTTTTGCTATTCTAGATCTCTTCTAGTTCTATATGAATTTAGTATTGCTTTTTCTAGTTCTGTGAGGAATGCTGTTGGTGTTATGACTGGGAATAATATTACATTCATGTATCACTTTTAGAGGTATGTCTGTTTTTACTATATTGGTTCTGCCTATCCAGGAAAAGGCTGTCTGAATTTTCTTTTTCTTTTTTGGATGTTAAGAGCAGAATATATTTATTGGGGGAAAGAAAGCTCCTGTCCAAGAGAAGGACAGAAGGGGGGGCCAAGTGGGTTGTACCCGTCTGCATTTTCTGATATCCTCTTTTGATCTTTTTTCAGAGTACTGTAGCTTTCATTGTAGAGGTCTTTTCCTCCTTGGTTAGGTTAATTCCTAAGTATTTAATTTTTCTTGAAGCTATTAGGAAAGATGTCAGTTCCCTAATTACTTTTTCAGTGAGTTTATTATTGGTACACAGGAATGCTATTGATTTTTATGTCTTGATTTTTGTATCTGGCTGTCCTACTGAATTTGGTTATGAATTCTAGGAGGTTTTTTGGTGGAATTTCTGTGTTGTACATTAGAGTATCATATCATCTTTGAATAATGATAATTTGGCTTCTTTCTTTCCTATACATATCTCTTCTATTTCTTTTTTTGCCTGATTGCTCTGGCTGACTTTTCAAGAACTGTATGGAGTAGGAATAGTGACAGCAGATGTTCCTGTCTTGTTCCTGATTTACAGGGAAATCAGCTTCTCTCCATTTAATATGTTGACCATTGATTTGTAATAAATGACTTTTATCAGATTGTTTCTCTTGTTTTTTTCAGCTTCAAGGTACTGCAGCATGCTGATTGAAGAAGGAGGACTACAACATTTATACAACATCAAAGAACATGAACAGACCGATCCCCATGTCCAACAGATTGCAGTGGCCATTCTGGACAGCTTAGAAAAACATATCATGTGCCATGGGAGGCCACCTCCCTGTAAGAAGCAGCCCCAAGCTAGACTAAATTGATAGTCATAGGTGATTGGATAATTGAGTCACCAGGATCCTTTTTGTGATTGGTCCACTTAGACTATCTTAAGGTCAGTTTGGGATTAATAATGTACAGTACTGCCCATGTGAACAGTCTAATTTGTCTTGTGATTTTTAACCTAATATGAGGCAAGAAAGGTTTCTTTATCATTCCCTTTTAGGAAATTTTCACATCTTTTAGTGTTTGAATTTATCTGTGCTTGAGATTCTACAGTTTTCTGATAAAAGTTTGCACGAACTCTTAGACCAGACTTTTCTGATCTCAAAGTCCCTTCCAATCAATTTGTGGCCTCCGATGGGTTATTACCCTGTTTCTGGCACTGTTTTAGTTGTGAAGTTTCTACTGCTATGTATAAAATGCCTTTACCCTCTGTATATCTCTTAGAAGACACCCTTCTTAGTGTGAAAGAAGAGAAACCATGTTTTCTCCCCATGGAAACCCTGTGGAACCTGGATGGCTGACAGAAATATATATTAGGAGGAAAAACAGTTGAGGAAGAATGGAGTTCAGGAATTGAGAATTGCTTTCATAGCATAGTTTCTAAAATGGGTCAGGTTGCCCTTCTGGAATCTGTCTCTTTGGAGGCAGTGGGCAGAACCTTGTTCTCTATTGTTTATGGCTAGAGATGTGGCCTGCTACTTCCTGTACAGATTGTGGGTTGTTCTCTAGAAATATTTCCCAGCATCACACCATTAACTATTATAGCACATTGTGTTAAAGGCTATCTGATTCTGTCATAGTATTGTGAAAATGTAAATTTTTTAAAAAATCGTCTCTAGTTAAAAGTAGCTATTCTTTTCCTACAAAGCCATTTTTGTTCAGTGGGATAGACACTACTCATGGTATTAACCTGCTTAGTCAAATTACAATTGACAACAGTAAAGTTTGCACAAAAAATTAAATTTGGGTTGGAGGTGTAACTCAAGAGGTTGAGTGTATCTTAGCATGTAAAGCCCTGAGTTCAATACCCAGCACCAAAAAAAAAAAAAAAAAAAAAAAAAAAAAAGAAAGAAAGAAAAAAATGAAGAAAAGCTAAATTTTTTCCAATTATGTATCTCTTAATTTGTTCATGTTGTAAAAAGATGTCCACATCTTACTGCCAAACATGTAAAAGAAGATAAAACTATTGTTAAATGATTAAATGTAATGATTCTAGTTACAGTGGATAAAAGGAAATATTTTTGATGAATTATTTTTTAGACAGTTGCCTTTCCTTTAAGATACTTGATACAGTATAGTAAAAAAAAAATCATTATATCAATAATTGCTTGAGAGGCAGCAAATCTCCAAGAAATTTAATTTCCATTTAAAATTTATTTTATTGATAAGGTTAATCTGCAATCTCCGATGATTGCATTTTTTCATAGCCAAAATAGTTTCAGTAGAGATTTTACATGGGATGATGAGATGATAATGGTTCTTTCGAAGCATGTCAGAATTGGTGATCAGAAGTTCCTTCATAAAACAGCTGGAGTATTAGTGCACTAATAGCATTTTTGACATTTACTCCATACTACTGTTACAATAAATGGACTCGAAGTTTTTAGTATTCCTTTATGAGGATGAAAACTGAATTAAACTAAAAGAAAGTAGATTTGTGAAACTATGAAAGCTGTATTAAATTATGGATTAATTCTGGCTTCGTTGGCATAAGCAATTTTTATAAGATGCATTTTCACAGATTCAGTTTATTTCAGAGGCAAAACAAAATTCTTTCAAAAGTTTTTAAAAATGTATTTGCCTTTTTTCCCATTTGAATGTCTAGGGCAAAATTCAGAAAATAGGATGGTCTACAATAGCTTGAAAGTTGCTTGTGAGGTTGGCCATTTTCACGTTTTTTTAGTACAGTTAAGGGAAAGTCTATTTGAGAAGTTTGGCTTCAAGTTTTTATTTTATACTATTCAAGACAAAAATATATGTTGTCTACTGCTAGATTCTTGCCTTCAAAATATTTTTCATTTGTTTTGGTTTTTGAGACAGGTTCTCACTTTGTAGCTCAGGCAGGCCTCAAATTCAGGGTGATCCTCCTGCCTCTGCCTCTCAAATGCTGGGATTACAGACATCACCATGTTTGGCAAAGTTGTTTTTAGAAATGACTAAAAATATACAGAAAACAGCAGACATGCACTTTATTTGGACTAAGTTCTTGATAGATGAAAACTCAAAAATGTTTAAATTTACTACTTTGAGCATCAGTAGCAGCCAGATACTTCTGAGTCTTAAAAGCAAAATAATTGATCATATCCCAAATATGTAAGTTTTAGTGCCTTTGTGGTTGGGATGGTTTTTAAAATTATGTGCATAATTAAGGAACAGAATTATCTGTAAGGTCTTGAATTTGGCTGAAATATAGTGGATGAATATATTAAGATTATGAGGTATAACTGCTGTCTCTACAGTTAGAATCTATTCTAATTCTTGAAATCGTAAACTGGAGTGTAACATACTGGGTGCCTTCAAAGGAGACCTTTCAGTGATGTAGAGGTGCCAAACAGGTAAGGCACTCATTGCTCGCATCATTGGTATACTCAGATATTTAGATATTATTGAAAATAAAAAATAATCCCTAAGCAACAGCAAGTTACGGATATATTAAGAAATGGATATACAAGGAAGGAAGGAAAGAAGAAAAGAAAGGAAAGGAAAGGAAAGGAAAGGAAAGGAAAGGAAAGGAAAGGAAAGGAAAGGAAAGGGAAAGGGAAAGAGAAAGAGAAAGACTGACAGGCTGGCCAGGCCAGTTGGCACATGCCTGTAATTCCAGCACATGGGAGGCTGAAGCAGGAGGACTGCTGTGAGCTTGAGGCTGGTCTGGGCTACGTAGTGAGTTCACAGCCAGCCTGGACTACAGAGTAAGACCTTGTCTCAAAAGAACAAAAAACAAAACAAACAAAGGCATCTTTATTGTTTGCAGCAAGTTTTGCTATGGCCTCTGTACTCTAAAATTTTAACTATTGTTTTCTTTAGGGTTGAGAGTTTAGTTTAGCTCGGTGCCAAGGCCCAGGTTCAATCCCTAGCACCAAAAAGGAAAGAAAAAAATGTTGTGGGGGGCCGGGGAGGTGGCTCAGTGGAATAAGCGCTTTCCTGGGAAGCGCAAGGGCCTGGGTTCAATCCCTGGTTCCGCCAAAAAAAAAAGTTGTGGGTTTTTTTCCCTTTCTTTTCTTTTTGCAGTTAAAAAACAAAGCATATCAAGTATTAAGTGGGGTTAATTGACCCTTTAGCCAAGGACATAGTTGGCCTTTTCTGCTTTTTGAGATATGATCTTGTTATGTTTCATACTGGCCTTAAACTTGCTGTGCAGCACAGGCTGACTTTGAATCATGATCCTCCAGCCTCAGCCTTCCTGAGTGCTGAGGTTACATTACCTCCCCCACCATGTCCATCTTTTTTAGTGGCAGATTTTTTTCTCCTGTCAGATAACCTGGGGGGATTATACTCAGGGTCTTTGCACAGACCTATACCCTTAGCCCTTTTTCTTCTTCTACTTCTATTTTTTTCACCTTAGCTCTTTTCCAAGATTTATTTTTATTTTGAGACAGGGTCTTGCTATGTCACGAAGTTGCCCATCCACGATCTTTGTGCCTCAGCTGTCTATAGTGGCTGATACATCAGCACACCCAGCTTTTCCTAGTTGAAGATTGTTAAAAACTGTATCAGACCCACAGTTCTGCATCAATATTTCTGCTTGTTACTTAAGGCCAGGAATGCAGTTCAGTAACACTAATAAACTTCAGGGGGAGTGTGATCGGTATAACACTGCTAGGGAAATTTGCCTTCATAGTGTCTTTTATTTGTAAACTTTCAAAGAATTAAATATTCTTTTATTTTATTTTTTATTTTTTTTTTGCGGAACTGGGGATTGAACTCAGACCCTTGCGCTTCCTAGGGAAGCGCTTATTCTACTGAGCCATCTCCCTGGCCCAAAATATTCATGTTTAAGGCCATGAATCTTATATATGCGGTTTAGGAAGTTGCTCATACAAGTCTTTTTGTGCTGGCCCCTTTTCTCCCTAGCCACTTTAACTTTTAATTTGGTTATACTTTCAATCATGCCCTCTGTCAAGATAACAGTGGAGGGGCTGGTGAGATGGCTCAGTGGTCTAAAGCACCTACTAAGAACAAGCTTAGCAAAGCACAGGGACTGCGGTTCAATCCCCCAGCACCACATGCCAGCCAGCCCCGCCCCCTGGTGGGCTGAGCTGGCCACACACACATACACACAAATAAATAAATAAATTTACAAAAAAAAAAAAAAGAATTTAAAAAGATAACAGTGGGGAGATGGCTCAGTGGAATAAGTGCTTCCCTGGCAAGCACAAGGGCTTGAGTTCAATCCCTGGTTCCGCCAAAAAAAAAAAAAAAAAAAAAAAAAATGGATAACAGTAGGTTATCCACTATCACCTTTGAGCACATTTTAATGAAAGTGCTTTATGTGGTAAATTAATGAACTATAAATTTGATTTAGTGTTTTAAAATGCACTATCTGCACCCTCCAAAAGAAAATAAAGTCAAATGCAAATTAGCCCTATGTGGAACTATGTACAGCAGTACCCAGGGTGAACGGAGGTAGCAAAAGCTTAGTTTTGTGGATAATGAGATGTTTTTCTCCTGCTCCTTGAGTATGTTTATATTATTGGCTCCTGTACAGCTTTAATCATGATGTAAAGCAGTATTACTAACCTGAAGGTACGAGTTAAAGGTAGTGTCACACTCTTACTGATACGGCCTTTTCCCATTATCTGTATTCTTTTGGGACCTTTGTATGGGAGGGGCTGCAGAACCCTGTATTTCCCTCTTAAATCCAATTTTAGATGGGGTTGTGTATATTAGATGTTTAGTTTTTTGTTGACACATTTTAAAATTGTTAATTTAACAAAGTGTTTACTTTGGAAATAATGCGAAACTAATCTTTTGTCTAGTGATGAGAATAGCAGTATGATTGGAAAATTTGCTGATTGGGCTTTAAATGAGTGATTGCTTTATCTTCTTTAGTTTTTTCACAGACTTTGCATGATATAGTGCTTTGGTCTCCAAAGCTTAAAGTAAGACACTACGTTAATTGGTAGCAGAACAGCTTTTTAGTCTGTTTCCCACCACACACACTTTTTATATAAATTATGCAACTATAAACACTGTGTTTCATTATTCTGAATGAAATACAACCTCTTTTAAACAGTGTAGCCTAAATTTATAGCCAGGCAAGTGACCATTAAGAATAATCTCTCCAGGGGCTGGGGAGATGGCTCAGTGGAATAAACGCTTCCCTGGCAAGCACAAGGACCTGAGTTCAATCCCCAGTTCCACAAAAAAAAAAAAAAAAAAAAAAATTATCTCTCCATATCAGGCATAGGGGTAGACTCCTGCAATCCCAGCATTCAGGAAGTTGAGGCAGGAGGATTTATCTTGAGTTGGAGGCCAGTCTTGGCTACATAGCAAGTTCAAGGCCAGCCTGAACTACACAGCAAGGCCCTTTCTTAAAAAATAAAATAAAAATTAAAATAAAGGATAGTTTATTTTAGTTTGAGGTAGGATGGTTACAGCTTTGAGGCTAGTGTGTTATGTTCAGTTTTGTGAGACCCTATCTCAAAAATAAAAATGGTAGGAGATGTAGCTCAGTGCCCCCTGGGTTCCATTCCCCAGTAATTCCCCCTTCCTCCAAAGTTCAGAGCTGGGCTGCTGGCATTTTCCTGTAGTCTATAGTCCCAGTTGCTCTGGGTAGCTGAGACCAGCCTAGGCAACATAACAAGAGTCTGTCTCAAAACAAAAAACAAACAAAAAATTAAAAATCTAAATTTATCAAAATTATTTTTAATTTTTGGATACCAGGGATCAAACTCAGGACCTTGTGCTTGCCAGGGAGGCACTTATGCCACTGAGCTATCTCCCTGGCCCCAGATTTATTTTATGAGACATCATATATCTAGTTTACCAATAATGGGTGCTTAATACGGGGTTTACTTTGAGGAAAAATTTAAATTGGTTCTCTTAAACTTATTTTAATCAGCTTTAACGTAAGAAATTACTTTAGCTACTGAAAGCTAAGGACACTTTCATAAAAGGCAATCTCTGAGAGCATTTTTCCCACCCAAAACAAGGTATGGTATGTCAAGATTTATACTCTAACTGCAAGTATAAAAAAATTTAAATCTCTTACTTTTGTAGGATTCTCTCTATAAAATTCTGAGTGGTGAGTGTGAGAAAAACAATCTTTTGCTTAAATTCTAATGAAAGAGTTGAATGCCTTTCAAAACACTATGAAAAGTTCATTGGAAAGTGTAATGGATACACTTCAAGACTCTCAGTTACCTGGACAGAAAGCACTGTTCTATGGGCCAGATAATGGGAGTATTCTGTACCTGAATCATGCTATATTTTAAATCAGGACATCACTTAAGTATTAATGTTGTGTGTACAAAATTTTGTTTTGGAATTTTTTTGGGTTTTGCCTAAATAAATGGTATAAATTTTATGAAAAGTGTCTTGTTTATTTTTATTCCAGACATTTGCTTTATTTTGGGGGGGGGGGATTGAACTCAGGCCTTTGCGCTTGCCAGGGAAGTGCTTATTCCATTAAGCCATCTCCCCGGGCCCATACGTTTGCTTTAAAGCTTAGTATTAATGTAAACTTCAGTTTGCTTAATGGTCGCCTTGCAACAACTGCTTTCTGAAAAAGGGTGCAGTTTTCCTGGACAAGTTTGTAGTATCGTGACAGCATTCATTCATTTCATTAAGTACTTGTAGGTGCCATGAAATTGTTGGAACTTATTTAATTTATAAATCCTTCAGGGAATTTAACGAAAAAGAATAGATATTCAGTGAGCAGATAAATATTAGCCAATAGACCAGTCCATAGTGACCATTAGAGGCCCAGAGACCATATCTAATCCAGATTGTGCATTTTGGAGGTAGTTTTAAGAGTTCCGGTAAAGGGGTGGGGAGATAGCTCAGTGGCATAAGTGCCTGACTGGCAATCACAAGGTCCTGAGTTCATTCCTGGTACAAAAAAAAAAAAAAGTTCTTGCAGAAAATGGTATGTAGGGGCCCCGGGGAGATGGCTCAGTGGAATAAGCACTTCTCTGGCAAGCACAAGGGCCTGAGTTCAATCCCCACTTCCACCAAAAAAACCCAAACAACAAAACAAAAGCAAGAGAAAATGATATGTAGTTTGATGCTCATTCACACAATTAGAGATAATTAACTGGAATAATATATATTATCTGAGCGCATTTAGTGAAAAAGATTGCTCTCCCCAAAGTACTAGTGATTTTTAGATCTTGAACTTTAATTTTGCAGCTAGACAAAATAGGCAAGATGAGTGCTTACATCACAGCAATTCAGTGACAGACCACACTACAATTCTTAGCTCCAACTTTCTTTCCACACAACAGGCCCCACCCCAACATTTTCTAGCCCAGTAGCCTGAGATTTCTTAGATCTTAGGTAGTATATGATTAAGCTTCTGGAAAGAATGAACAGCAGCATCACTGTGGAGACAATAGAGACCTATTAATAAAGGGTCACTAAAGCTGGGCATGCCAGGCATGGTGGCACACACTTGTAATCCCAGCATTCAGGAGGCAGAGGCAGGAGGATCCCTGCAAGTTCCAGGCCAGTCTGGGCTACACAGTCCAGTTCAGTCTCAATTACACAGCAAGACCCTGTTTCAGAAAAACAAAAACAACAACGACTGGGCACCGTGGCTCAGGCCTGTAAAACCAGAACTTGGTGGGTGTCCAGCCGAAGTGAGCACTATCCCATTAACTGGGGAGGCTGAGGCAGAAGCTTTCTAAGCTCAGAGCCACAGAACGACTGGCCTTGACTGCATAGGGAGACCCTGTCCCCAAAACCAATATCAAGGCACTACAAAAATACTCTATTAAATGTGTTAGAGTTTCTGTAAGGTTTCTAAATATAATTTTATAATTATTTTTCTTAATTTTATATTGCCTATAAAGCTCTTAATGTAGTGTTATTATAGACAATACATATTGCTTCTCAGTCTTTGGCTAAGATCAAGTGTAGTATGGACCTGAGGGATCCATAATACATAAAGAAGATAAATTTGTTTCTCTTTTATTTTTCTTTTTGTCTCTTTGAGGCAGGGTCTCACTATCCAATTCAGGCTGGCCTTGAATTCACTTTGTAGCCCAGGCTGGCTTTGAACTTGGAACAATTCCATCTCAGCCATCTGGAGAGCTGGGGATTATAGGTGTGCACCACCACACTCGCTAAAGAAAAAATTCTTTGGCAAATACTTAACTGGACAATTTGTTGAGCTGTGTTACAACATCACTTAAAAAAAAAAAAAAAAAGACAAAAGGGCTGGTGGGTAAAGCCCTCTGTGAGGCTTCAGTTTAGCTTGCCCTAGGCCGTGTTCAAAGCCCAGCCCCCCTCCAAAAAAAGGGCTTCCTTCATTCCTTCTACCACGGGAAGTTTTTGTTATGTTGATGGATTTAAGTGTTTCCTAGAGAATGTTTTCCGGTCTTCTCCTTTACATTTCTTATCTGCTATCCTCAATATGCATCATAAAAGTCCAATGGCCTGCTCTAAACTGCAAATAGGAGAAAAGTGTAAGTGCTGCTCAGTTTAATCATGTTAAATCCCAGAACTCTTGGTAAACTGAAGGAGAAAGATTGAAAGTTCAAAGCCATCCTACGCAACAGAGCTGCTTAGCAAGAGCCTCTTAAAGAAAAAAAAAAAAAAACAAAAAAAACTCGGGATGTAGCTCAGTGGGAAAGCCCGGGATACTACAAGGAAATAAGCAAATGCAATAATAGAGCCGAGGGGACAGATAAACTTTTCGGATTTGAAATCAATTTGCATCTTATTGTCAGGGGTCTATAATTTCAAATACCATTAGGTATTCCATAGATTCCAACGGTGACTTCGAATTCCAATGTTGCCTCAAAATACATTAAGGCAAGTCCTTTCTTTATATTTACTCAGTTAAACGTTGAAGCTAATCATTAGCTGTGCGTGGTGGCACACTGTAATTCCAGCACTCTGGGAGGGCAGCAACTTCCAGGCCAGCCTGTGCCATTGAGAGACTGTCTTAAAAA